ATCAGTACAGATATGTGAGATGGGTTGGCAAAATTAATTAAATTCGTGTCTAGGAAAATGGTATGGTTTGTGAGTAACATAAATGGTGTGATTTGTTGGTGAGATATGCAGCAAAAATTCAAGGAAAACTGTGTGATTTGTATCTAATAGAAATAGTGTGGTTTGCGTCGAGGAAAATTAGTGATCGTGACAAGTTAAGTGTATAGTTTATGATTAATGAATTATTTGTGACATGTTAACTGTTTGATTTGAAACCTCATATGTGCCAATAATTTGTGGCGTATGTGATTGCGACCTTGAGTAATTGTAACCTAAAAATTGTATAATATGTAATTGTAACCTGTTTAATTTAAGTTTATCTAAGATCACAGATGTAACCACTTGATTTTTGAAATTTTTCTTTAGTTCTGAGATCATTATTTTTATTTTTGTTTCAAATTGGTCACTTTTTGCAACCCCTCATCAAATTTTGTGATATATAATTTAATTAAACGGATCATGAATGTACTAATTCATAATTTATGATTACAGCTACATACTAGTTACAAATCACACAAGGCGGTAGTCTCAAATACACAATTTGTAAGTCTCAATTATAAATTTAGTGACAAATTACACATTTTATAGGTTACAAATTACCAAATTAGTTGGTCACCACCACTCTTCATCTTACCCCAACTCCACCACCATCGGCTCTACCTATTTTATTGGCACCATCTCGAATCCATAGTCGACCACCACTTCTACCTCGAACTCACCAATGTCTTCACCTCCAACCCACCACTACATCTCAAATCCACCACCATCACCTTTTCATCTGATTCTCTTTTAATACTAATAAATGTAATTACATAAATGCAATCTAATCATTGAAACTAATCCGTAAAAAATTAGTCACCAATTAACGTATGATTCATGGCCATTGTCACATATTAGTTACAAAATCACATGTGATCTTAGTCACATTCCATACAATTTATGTCACAATCTTAAATCCCTCATTAAAATCTAAATTTTAATCAAAGTCAAAATCAACAATTAATTTCAATCACATATTTTATGAGTCTCGCAACTTCTTAACAACACATTTCATTAACTTAGATCAAAATCTACTAAAAATCTCCACCAAACAAAGACTAAGTCACGACTCACACAATTAACAGTGACAAAAAATTTATTACTCACAGACCACAATTCAATTGTTACAATCACTCATCATTTCACCTAATCTTTTTCCACCACCTTCACCATAACACATAATTTGTGATCACATTCATGTTTCAGCCACAAAATCACTCAAGCTCATAGTCGCAAAAATACAATTGTAGGTCACAATTACATATGAGTAAGAAAATCATACATTTTTATATGTCACAACTTATTTATCGATAGCAAATTATAAAATTAGTTGGTCACGACTTATTTCATAGTCACTTATATCAATTTTATTTGTCACAACTTATTGTAGATCACAATTAAGAGTGGACATGGTTTTATTTGGTTCTGGTTTCAAAAGAACCGAACTAATCCATAAACCAATGTTTTTTCTTTATAATGAAATCAAATGATTTTTTTATTTTTTTTAGATATGGAACTAAAACGAAATCGAATTATTCGGTTTTGGTTTGGTTTGTTTCGATTCTAGTTTTATTTCTTAAAATTTAAATTTTGCACCATATCCATAATTTAGTAATATATACATAAATAAAAAAATAAATATCAAATATTCAACAATTTCAAATTATCAATCAACAAAATCCCTAAGTCCGAATTAACAAATAAAATAGTCATATTTTGAATACATAAATCAATTTCCATTTCCATACAAAAGATTATCTAATAAGTAATACAATAATTCACTAAATTAATTGCAGTAGTGTTGATAGTATACCCCCAAAATAAAGGATGAATTATGCAAAAATTTTACAATCCACTTTTACAAGCAACCATTAATTGTTTAATTCTCCATAAATATATATTTGATTTTCCTCTATCTGTGAAGAACACAAGTAATTCATTAAACAATCAAGGTGAAAAAATAGTTTAAATGCTTTTTAATTGACTGACTAATTTCATTTTTTGATCTTGAAAGAGTCTCTTCCACTAACATGATGAAATGCAGTGTTGTTTGCCCTAGCGTTGTGTAAATTGAAAATGAGTGAGAGAAAAATTATTCAAATTGGGTGTGCACAATTAATGGATTGTCTCCAATGACCCATAATCGGTTAATGGGCTGTTTCCAATACAGACAAAATTAAGGTCTCTACTAATTAAGTAAATAAGAGTACATGTCAACAATGGCAATGTTGATTTTTAACTTCATTCACTTATATAGGATAGTGAAAGTTTCGTTTAATTGGGCACTTGGGTCGAGAATTAGGTGGGAGACTTTACTCTGGGGCGGGATACGGGTAACAAGGGCCCCATCCAACCTCACTCTGTTTAACTTTTTTTTTTAAGAATTCGATATTTTAAATGAAAAACTCTGCGAAATTTCATTAGTCCTAATAGAAGATGATAACTAAGATTATCTAAGGAATATGCAAAAAAAAATTAGTCTGCCAAATATATTCGAATAATTTAAAATTTTAAAAATAAATAATTTAATAAATATATAATTGTTGAATGGGGGGCAATAAAATGAACAAAAAAAAACTTAAACTTAAAAATAAATAAATGGGCAGTAAACGGGGCAACGGCCCCGCCCCTCAACCCACGCCCCCTGTCCCGTCTTAAATGGGTAATGGGGAGGGTAAGGGGGCGCGAGTGGGAGAGATTGCCCGACCTCGACCTATCTCATTGCTATCCGTAAAAATAGGTATGAATTCGTGATGGAGATATCATTGGTCCGACAAAGTTTCGATGAATCAAGCAATTTAATCTCTGACGAAGGTGGTGACCTTCGATGAAGAAGATGGGTCCATCTCCAATGATACATCACAGGTTCTTAGTATAAGATGAGCATCAATACCCATTAAATCATTCCTAGTATGTGTGATATATATAATGACAGTTACATATCAATATTTACACTAAAAATAATAAGCGCCTGATTTTAATATATATATTTTTTAATGCTTTATTTTTTAAATTCAAACTTAAAATATAGGGATTGGAGTAATTTTTCCGTCCTAATATATATTAGGCCCCATTTTAGCTTCTATTATTTCAAATTTTAATGGGTGTAATAATATTTTTTGAAAAATGGGTGGTTGAAAAAGAATAAGAAATTTTCAATTTACGTGTAACATTATTTTATAGAAGATTGTGTGGTTAAAAATAAGAGAAAGAAAAATGAAATGAAATTTAATGGGGGCCAAATGGGCTGTTAAACCAATAGATGGACCATTCGAAATATTTGAGGAAATTAAAGAAAATGATTATTTTTATGAAATAAATATGGTTGGGGAACCCTTAACCCCCATCGACCTTCCTTGGTGGACCCTAAAAAGTCACACAAAGACTTTTTTTTTAATAACCAAAAATAAAAAAAAAAAAAAAAAGGTGTAATAATAAAAAATAAGGTAATATTCAATTAATAATAATATTATAAAATTAAATTAATTTATATATCCCATCCTACCCCCTTCCATCCTCACCAAATTTCTCAAACCTTAATCACTTTCCCACTCCATTCTCTCTCTATATCACTTTCGACTCTCTATAATCTCTCCCTTGATCACACCATCACAACCTTTCGGCGATGACGCTAACCATAACCATCCAATAGCGACATCGCTATTACTCCGTCGCAGTGACAATGCCTCCACACACACCACCACCACTGAGTAAACCACGAGAGCGACACTCAGCCACTCACGACATTGTTGGTGTTGTGCTGTAGTGGTTGCTCATGATGCTTCGCCACAGGTGGTGCTCTGAGATCGACGTTGCTTGATGTCATTACAGCCGGTGTAGAACTACCTCCACTTCTAATAGTCGCTTTTTCTGATGTTCGTGGTCGGACATAGACAAAGTTTTGTGGTTTTGTATGTAGTTTGTGGGTTGTGATTTGAGGTGGTGGTGGTGGTGGTTTTGTTGGATTTGGTAGTCGTTGTGATTTTTATTGGTGATAACAGTGGTGGTGGATCTGACGGTTGGGTTGGTTTTGTTGAATCTAGCGTGATAGTCTGACGGTGGCAGTGGCGGTTGTGGTTGAAAATGATGATTTGTTGATGGTTGTGGTTGTGAGGCAGTGGTGGTTTTGAAGTTGAAAATTGAAGTTTGTTGGAAATGGTGATGGTGGTGGTAAGGTGGCATTGTCATCGCACCCAATTCATCGTCACAAGTAAAATGGAGTGAAATGGCCGATGGTGGTTGTGGGTTGTTGAGTTCGTATCTGTGTTGTTGGCGATGGTACAGTGTTGGTAATAGTTGTGTATGGTAGTGGTCGTTGTAGTATTAGTATGTGACCAATTATTCGGTGATTTGTGATCAACTATATCATTGTGACCTAAAAATTTAATAATTTGTGGCTGAAAAATAAATTGTGACTAACTAATTTGAAAATATGTGATTAACACATAAACTGTGACCTATAAATTTTTTAATTGTGATCTATCAAAATTTTTTATTGTGACCATGAAATAATTCATGATCAATCAATTTGATAATATGTGACAAATAAAAAAATTGTGATATATAATTACGTACATGTGATCATTAACTGTATAATTGTGACATTAATGATTTAATTAATAAAATTTATTATTTTATCAACTGAGTTTTGAATTTTAAAACTTAAAATTTGTAATGGCCCATAGTTAATATCCGAGTTTTGAATTTTTCTTAGTAATAAATACGGGTCCATCCATTTAAGCTCCCATTTGGCCCCAATTTTTTGAAATGAAAATAAGTGAAATAATATTTTATTAAAAAACGAGTTGTTGAAAAAGAAGGAATTTTTATTTTATTTTACGTGTAATATTGTTTTATGAAAGATTATGTAATTAAAAATAGAAAAAAAAGAGAAAAATGAAATAGGATTTAATAAACCTGACTAAATATGCTAATAAATACCTCTGAAAATTCGTCTTTAATTTACCCCTCCCTGAAAACATTTTCCGACACCTCAAACCCTTCTCTCTAGTTTTTGTTTAGCTCTCAGACCTTCAGGCTACAGGTATCAACTCAACCTATAGATACACTTGCTATATCTCTTTAAGTAAATCAATGTCTGTGGATTGCAAGTCTTGGCGGTCGTTTAATTTCTACGAATTGTTAATAAAGTTTTTTTTTTCCCTGTTATATTTTCCTATCTAATTCATTTGTATGTAGTGAGCTTGTTTCTAATCTCTTTCGTTTTTGATCTAGCACTTTTTTTTTCATTTTTTATTTTATTTACTCTATTGTTCCCCTTAGATCAAAATTCGCTTTTGTGCATATATGGTTGTGTGTGTATGAATACGTACGCTCAAACATAACTATGAGTCCGTTTGATTGTAAAGATGAAATTAAATTGGATTTAAAACGAATTTCAGTAATTGAATTGCCTAAAAATTATTTTTCTAGAGCTGTAAATTATTGTGTTTGATTCGTATAATTTTTCACGTGAAAAATATTGAAATAAAAATATTTTTTGATGTTCGTTTGGTTTTGTTTTACATGAAAATTGTAGGGATAGATTTTACTTGTATTGGGAATGAAATTTGTTTTCATTGCTAAAAAAAAAATAATAATAATAAAAAAATCCAAGAAAATCATTTATCTTTTAGTGTTCGTTTGACTTTGTTTTACATGAAAATGATCAATTAAAGGGAAATAATTTTTTACAATAATTCTTAAAATTTGTTTCCATTGCAACTAAAAGTTGGAAAATGCAAGGTAAATTATATTTTCCATGGAAAAAATTAACCAATCAAACACTACCTAAGTGCTTGTTTGTGCCCCTTTATTTGTGAGTAATGTATTATGGAATAGTGATTGATGTTGAAACGTGTGGTTAAAAAAGAAGGAAATGTACTTGTAATATTATTTTATTGAAGAATGTGTGGTTGAAAATGAATAATGTAAAAAAAATAATGTGGTAGAATGTGGAAAAATGGTAAACAAGCAAAGCCTAATTGGTGCATTGTTATCGTACAATAATATGCTTATTTGTGCATTTTTTAATTATAATTTTGTTGGATTTTATATTCACTTCATCAGTTAAACGTGAAATTATTTAATCGTTCTTGGGCATTTTGGCCATGAATGAATCAATTGATCACATATGTTTAAGTTGTTCTGTGAACCCTAGTACCATTTCTCTCCGGCGATGAATCATTTAGTGAGTTGCTTTTGAAAAGTACAGCTTCATAGTGATAATATTTTGGATTGATCTGTTCTCATTAGAACTCGATACCAAAATACTTGATGCCAAATGTAGATCCTGATACCTGCTTGACATATTGTTTCTAAACATGAATTGATATTTAATTCCCTACGTAAATCAATATGTATATACACGTGTTTATTCCATGTAATTTTTGAGTTCTCAATGTTTTAGAGACCATCTATTTATTTCCACTCGTTCTCATGATATTTGTTACCATTATGAATCTGAATTGTTTTTTTTCATCCTGAATGGATCTAATGGAATTAATTCCTGTGTAAAGTAATGACATGGCATATCACTAGGAAAGCTGAACTCTTTTCTATGATATTATAGATGGAAGGATACATGTGCATCTTGATGCTAGGCTTTCCCATGTACTGGTATCTTGTCTATACGGCTATACCTGTTGGTCAAGTCCTTGCACGTCTCTCTTAGCTTAGCAACAACTTTTGGTGATTAAACTTACTGAGACACAGATATGTGATACATCATTAGTTGGTTGGCGATTGAGGAATATGTTTCTTGAATAAATAATGTTTTCCCTTATCTTTACGCTACAATGGCCTTTTTTGCCCCTTCATGGTGGGGTCCTTAATAGTCAAGCATCCGTTGAAAGATCTACAATCTAGTTAAGTCTGATGTGCTTGAAAATATGCCTAAATCCCGATTTCTCCTCGTTTTGGAAAAGTAACTGTCTGTACAAATTAAATGATCATCTTTTCATCAATGTCTGGAAACTATATAGCTTATGGGATAGATGGGTTACCATTTCTTAGATATCTTCTTCTGGAACCTTGTATACTCTCCACGAACATTTTAATGTACAGATTAAGAACATGTTTGACTAAGCTTAAAAGGTTCTCTATCATTGATACACATTCTATAAAATATCACTATCATTTTTACTTTCTTTTGCTGTTTCATTAAGATTGTTTGATCTCAATGGAGCTTCGACATGAGGCTTAAATGCACGTAGTATGCATGAATGTCTGTTTCCCTGTAGTTTAAGGTCTGAGAAAGTGCAACCTCTTCTCCTTCTAAAGATTCGTATTTCATTTTTTACATTGTTTTTTCCTTTTTCATTTAATTGGAGGTGAGAATGTTTTAATCATTGTAACCAAAATCCAACGCATTTGTGAGCTGAGTGAGGTTTTGCAGCATTTTGGATGGAAAAACATAAAAAAATGAGACTAAAATTATACAAAATTACTATTAAATATCCTCTTTCCTACTCTCTACTTCAGAGAGATAGTCAATAATAGCAGACTGAAATGAGAAGTGCCAACTTTTATTATGACAGTTTCAAGATATATTGCAAATCAACTCGTGTTGACTGAACATGATGAAGTTACTTTGTTGCTGAAATGAAGGTCCGCATATTAGGAAGGAGAAAATAAACCAAAAATAAATGTTCTTTTTGATTGATGATGAAGGGGCCTTTATATTTGATGTATTTCTTCCAGAGTATGTAACTATAATCTGTCAGGTTGGCCTAACTCTACTGATCTAGTTATATGTTGGGGAAAAATACCATGCTCTATGGCTAATTGATAAGTTAGTTAGAACGCTACTTTATTTAGCATGTCTATGAAGTACTTTATGATATTGAATACTTAGTGGCAGAAATTTATGTTCTCAACAGGAAAATTTGGTATTTCCATGGCGACCAGGACTGTTGTGAGACACGTATCTCGTAGGTTCTCAAGCAGTGGCAAAGTGCTCAGTGAGGAGGAAAAAGCTGCAGAAAATGTCTATATCAAGGTCAATTCAATGCATGTTGGATTGTTACATTTTGATTATCTTCTTGACAAATTTTTGCACATACAAGTCGCCAAAGAATGAGTTTACTCAAAATTCGAGAAAGTTTCTGAACTACCCACATCTTAAAACTTTTAAATACTTTTACAAATTCAATTAGTCCAACACATTTCTGTAAGATATTTAATTTGTGAGCAAGTGATATGAAAAAAATTGTTGTTCATGACTTCATCTGAGTGATGACCAGAATTGTGTTTAATTTATACTTTATGAAATTGATTGTATGATATCTTTATTCGTCAAAATTTAGAAATGTATATGAAATAAACATTTGTCTACGAGAGAGCTGATTACTACTTTTTTTTACCATTGTTTCTTTTGCTTGGAGAGAAGTTAGTTTTTAACTTTTTTGTTTTATTATCGTTAACTCGTTTATCGCTGGACATTGTTTCTACGGGTGTTTATTCAACGTGATATATACTATAGTATTCGGGTTGTTATAACTTGCAAAGTTGTAATAATGCCTTTGATGACAATTAAGAGAAAGGGTATGCGTACTTACTACGTATACAGATAAAGTGTTTTCGCAAATGGAGAAGGATTTGATGATTTTTGACAAAATTGAAGTATCCTCGTTATTGTTATGATGACTGCCATTGTTCTTTTTATCCTTAACTATTCAAGTGATTAAGCTTTTCCTCATGCAGAAGAAGTATGAGCCCTGTTTGACAACCATTATTTGAATTTTTTTTTTCTATGCGCTCATTTTCAACCACACATTTATATAATAAAATATTTTGTACGTACACACTAAACTTTCCCTACTTTTTAACTAAACGTTTTCCTAAAAATCATTATTCAAAACATTGGCCATGACACTGGCTGAATGTGCTTCATGATTTTTCCGATACCATCAACTAGATTGTCTTTTTCAATAGTATTTGAATTATTGTACTTGCTTCATGAATTATTGATGTTATGCTTTGTTTATTTAAAAAAGTTTATATCTAACTAGGTAGCATTTTATTGAGCTATAGAATCGTTTGTTGCTTAGCCCCCGTTTTGTGGAAGTGAAAATTGGTGAAATAGTATTTTTTTGAAAAATGAATGGTTGAAAAAGAAGACGAAGTTTTCGATTTATGTGTAATATTATTTTATAAAAGATTGTGTGGTTGAAAATAGGAGAGAAAAAAATGAAATTTAATGGAATGAAAATTAATGGGGGCCAAATGGGGCTTTAATTGTATTATTATTACCATAGAGTTCTGATGATGTATTCAGACTTGACAGTTTTGCTTCTCGATACTGCATATAATCTGGAGGTCTGGTTCCCTTTTGTCAAAAATCATACCATTATTTACTTAAACAAGATAGGGAGGAATTTTGAACTGTGGTCATTCACTGCTATCTTACTTTTGGTTTTGTCACTTAAGGTTATGACGATAGGGTAGTTTTTAGTGTTCTCAGTCCAATTATAATGGCTAAAGACTAGTTATACAGAGTGCACTCCTGGTATTTTATTGAATGTTAACTGGAGTAGACATAAAAAAGAGGGTAATAAAACTATCAATGTTGGTTGATTGAAATAGACAAAGATTGATTAATGGACCGGACAAATTTCTCGTTGTATTTGTTACATGTACACATGTTCATCAACCGTTCTGATAAATAACAATACTCTTTGGACTATTATCGGGTAAAATAAGCTCCTGTTTGATCCCCATTAAATTAAATTACATTACATTCTATTTCTCTCTCTCTTATTTTCAACCACACAATCTTTTATAAAATAATATTATACGTAAATCGAAATTTTTTTTTCTTTTTCAACCACTCATTTTTCTAAAAAATACTATTCTCCCCATTTTCATTTTCAAGTAATAGGAATCAAACAGGAGCTAAGTAAACCCACTAAAAAGATTAGGATAAACCTGTTTGGCCACTCAAAACCACGCCCTCAAATTGAGGGCTGGCTTTGGGCTGGGGCCTCCAACAGGTTTGAATAGATTATCTATAAAACCCTAAAGCTATGTGAGATTCGAAAAAAGAAAAACTAA